AGCCCGGGGCCGAGCGAGTCGGGAGGCCGGCCGGCGCCGGGTCGCGCGCGCGCGTCTCTAAAACCCTCTTCTGTCTCGTTTCAGGTCACCAACCAGGTGAGTGCGGTGTCTGTCACCCCGGACGGACCCCGGAGTCCTTTTCTGCCTTCCCCGCCAGCCTCCTCGCTGCTGGCCTTCACCTCTGCACCCCCGAGGATTCGGGGATCTCATCCCGGGAGGGTCCCCTCCCTCCATCCCCGCCGGCCTGTGGCCGTGGGCGGCTCCGCCCCTTTCAGGCCACCACCTGGCTCCTGGAGATGGCCGTGAACCTCTGTCCCCCACCGCGCGGGACCCCAGGTCACCAACGCCGCCTGGGGCCTTGGGGTCTGAGGTTTGGTGAACTCTCCCATGGTATACCCCGGCTCCTCTTCCCTCTTCGTTTGTCTCCTTGATGTCGCGTTCCTGCATGTTCCCTGCCCCTGTCCATTCTAGGTGACTAATTTGCCAACACTTCCCGACTCCCGGCCTCGTAAACTTGCCCACCCAGTTTTCTGGCTAATTCCATCTAACAACCTGTACAATGAAATCACCCTCCAGTCATCTCTTGCACCATCAAGTTGCTTCTCTTCCCCGCCACGCCCCCTTTCTCTTCCAGTCTTTAAAAACCATGTCGTTGCCTTTTGTACCATACAGAGCCCGGTTTAATCGTTGTCATGCAGTTCTTGGCCACCTGCTACTCTTAAAAGAAACTTGGTTTTGGATACTGAAGATTGGGGCAGGGAATGGCAAGTGGGGATGCCTATCAGCTCCCAAATTAGAAAAAAAAAGCTATTAGTTTAATTTTTTTATTTGCACAGGTATGTATTGTCTTAGGTATAATATACTTTTTTTTCTGCTTTCAACATTTAGTTCACCTTTGACCATGCTCTTAGTTTGTTACGTAATTTTCCTCCCCCCCCATCTTTCTCATCACCAAAGGATAAAGATTTATCATCTACTTAAAAAAATTTTTTTTGAGGCCAAACATCGTGGCCCATGCCTGTAGTATCAACATGTGGGAGGCTGAGGTAGGAGAATTTTGAGTTCCAGCCTGGACTGAGACTGGGTCTCCAGCCTGCTCCTCGCCTCCAGTTGTTGGTTTGGTTGTATTTTTAAATGGATTTTGGTTTTCAAAGCTTTTAAGCACATTCCTTATATAAAGCATGCAGGCTTTATGTTCGAGGTGACATCCTTTGTCTTTTTTCAAAACATTTTTATTACATTTATGTATTTTGTGTGTGGATGGGTGATGTGCATGTGGAGGTTCAGAGGCCAATAGTTCACCCCTTCCCTCAGGTGGGGCCTTGGGATGAAACACAGGTCCTCATGCTCGATGCTGGTAAGGGCCTTTACTCATTGGCCCAATTCCCTTTATCTTGTTTGAGCTTATTGTATGTTCTTGTTACTGTCTAGTTCTTACCTCCTTAGTAAGGTGATTGAAACGCAGCACTTACCATTCGTATTACTGCTTAAAGTACCTTTTCCTGAGAATGTCAACATTCTTTGCTTCTCACCCTTTTGAGATTTGCTCATCTCTTTTCCCAACACGTTTTATTTTCTTTGTCAAGAGAAAAATCGTTAAGTCTGAAGAAATCAGAATTTGCAACTTCTGTGCCTAGAAAGAGATGTTTATTTCAGTCGTAATCCAGACTCATTTTTACACTTTACTGATAGGTAAATATCTTTGTTCCATTGGCCCGTCTTTTTACCACTACCATCCTAATTATTGTAGCTTTCTAAGTCCTCAAACAGTGTGAATCCAACATTGTCCCTTTTCAGAATTGTTTAGGCTTTTCTATTTACTTTACCTCTCAGATAAATTTTAGAAGCCTTGTCAGTTTCTACAGAAGTTGATGGTGAGTGTGTCAAGTGGATAGATACGTTTCAAGGAATGTATCTTTATTGCCTTGGATCTTGTAGTCTCTGAAGGAAGTGTGTCTATCTCATTACTTAGGCTTTTGATTTCTTATGTCAGTGTTTGATTGTTTGAACATGTGGAAAAATTTTGTTATATGCCTACAGATTTGATGGTCTTGGGGTGTTCTTGTAAATAGTATTACCTTAAAGTTTTATTTTTGAGTTCTTTGCTATGTATAGAAATCTAATTTAAAAATGTGCCCATATCCTCTACCTTGCTAAATCCATGTATTAGTTGCGATGTGTCTCTCTCTTTTTTGTAGGTTCTTTGAGGATTTCCAGACATTTGTGTTCTCTGAAGTCAGCTGCTTATTCCCATTCTAAACAGCTTTATTCCTTTTCTTGTCTTGTTGCACTTGGAAATGCCTTACACATGGATCTGAGGCAGCTTGTTTCTCATCTTAGCTGGTGAAGCATTTACTCTTTCACTCTAATCGTGGCAGCTCTAGGTATTTTGTAGTGGCTCTTCCTCAGGCCAAAGAAGTTCCCACTCTTTCCTCATTTGGAAAGCTTTTTATTATGAATTAATGTTTAATTTCCCCAAGTGATTTTTGCATTTCTTCAGCTGATCATGGAAAGAAGTAAGACTAATTTTATATAAAAAGATAAAGGGGCAGCGATATGGCCAGTATTACTCTGGTGCCCAAACCATGAGAATAGAAACTGTGAACTTATATGTCTTGTGAATATGGCTCTAAAAGCCTTCAACAATAGCTATAGAAAAGCATAAGCATATAACCAAGAGCAGCTTTTTCTTATATTGAAGAGTGATTTACCATTCAAAATCAATCAGTGTGATTAGCCTTATCAATTGATTAAAAAACCTTTAAAATGATACTATTTATTGTTTTAAGCAACCAATAAACAAGTTTATATAACTGGACACTTAAAGCCTATGATTCAGCTGGTATAGAACCGCCTTCCTAGATGACTTTGATAAATTATAAAATGCATTTACTCATATTAATTAAACAATATTTTGAGATTACCTTTCGCATGACCGGTTAGTTGTCTGAACAGGTGCTAGTTATGCTTTGGTGATTAAAATATTCTTGTTTTTCTATCCAATGGCAGGACAGAAAGTAAAACAAAATAAATCTTTAGCAGTTGTTATAAGTGCAATGAAAAAAATTAATAGCCTTTAATCCTAGCACTTGGAAAGCAGAGGCAGGCGGATCTCTGTGAGTTCGAGGCCAGCCTAGTCCACAGAGCTAGTTCCAGGACAGGCACCAAAACTACACAGAGAAACCCGTCTCAAAAAACCTAAAAAAGAAAAAAAAAATTAACAAGGTGTTGGGGTTGGAGCTTAGGTTGGCTAGTGACCGGAGGCCCTTTTGAACTGACTTAACCAGAGATATAACTGCATGCCGTATTTGCTGTGCTTTGGTTTAAATTTTTTTAAGCCACATATGGTGGCTTGCAGGTATAATGCTAGCACCAGGGAGACTGAGGCAGGAGAATCAAATGTTTGAGACAACCTGGTTTACAGAGTGAGACTGTCTCAATTTTTTTTTTTTTCATTATTGGATAATGTGTTTGTATCTTAGTTAGCTTTAACCAGAATTTTTGTGTTTCATTAGTGTCCATGTTTTGCACAGGACTGAGGATGGAAAATGAGTAGAAATTTGGTTAACTGACTAGTGATTTGGAGATTTATCCCAGCAGGCCTTGAATTCATGGTCCCGCCTTTGCCCGCCTCGTGTAGGTTACAAGCACCACACCTTGCTCAGCCCTCCCTGGTTTTTCTTATTTCTTTAGCCTAATGGGATCACAAGAGGAGCCTAATCTTGATTTCACTGTGTTAACCATCTGGCAGTTACAGGCCTTATTAACTCTTAGTTTGAGCAAGTACTGTTTTATTCTGTGATGATGCCTGGTGCTACATTAGGATACTCATTGTATGTCTACAGCATGAAGGTTAGTGTTAACTGCTAGGTGTCATCTGGTGTCCCTCTGTCTAGCAGGTCTGGCAGACAGTGATTCTTTCTTTCTTTTTTTTTAGTATCCTGTCAATTCCTTTAAAGTTATTTTGCCATGCTACAGATTGGACTTAAAATAAAATCATTTAAAAAAAGAATTTAAGCTCTACCTTATTTACATATATAAATTTAAATAGGTAAAAGTAGCTGGTGGAAAGTTGCAGATAACTGAGCATTAAGAATTACAACTTTTTAAAGAATAAAATAAAGATCCAAAGGCAACAGGAAGTATAGTTGATATCCTGGGTAACCATTATACTAGACTTGACATGTATTTTTTTTTTTTTTGTGATTCGAGTATGGTCTGTCTGTCTGTCTGTCTATCATCTATGTAGCTATCCATCCATCCATGTCTGCCTATCTGTCTGTCTATCCATCTAAGTTGTAATTTAGAAAAATTGCGATTTTTTTTTTAAAAATAGGGAACCTCCCTAGAATTATTCTTCGTTGTGATGTTATTGAGGAAGTAACATTTTCTTGTTTCATATCTAAAGGAAACTTAAGCATACTTTGACATAGTTTTGCTATTTAATGTAAATGCTCAAAGGTAGAAACAGAGTTGGAGGTCATCTCCTAGATGATTACCAAGCAGTAATAGAGTAGTTCTCTTGTAAGTAGATCCCACTTTTGGGAAACAGGCTTTGATACCCTGTCTCCCGCGGCTTCTGCCTCCCTTCTGTTTCCTGCTTTGTCACTTCCCCAAGGCATCACCTGTCCCTGCTGGAGCCACCACCTCACCTCTGTCCTGTCTTCACTCTTGTCTAACTCGCTTCCATCCCCATCATTTCCTAGTGCCTCAGTTAGGGTTTCTGTGGAGACACCATGACCACAACAACTTTTAGGAGGAAATCATTTAATTGAGGTGGCTCACTCTCAGTTCGGAGGTTCAGTCCATTTTCGTCATGGTGGAAAGCAAGGAAGCATGCAGGCAGACATGGAGCTGGAGCTGAGAGGCCTTACATCTAGATCCAAAGGCAACAGGAAATAAACTGTGTCAACAGGCATGATATGAGCATATATGAGACCTCAGAACCTGTCTCCACAGTGACACGGTTCTTCCAACAAGTGACATGTCCTAATAGTGCCACTCCCTTTGGGGCCATTTTCTTTCAAACCACCACACATAGTAACTTCTTTTGTCAGTTTACTAGTGATCACACTTCTGACGTACCCATGGGCTGCTTTTCTGTTATTGTGTCTCATGGCCTTTTAGTGGCATTGGAAGAATAACCTGTTCTATCCTTCTTGAAACATCATGCTTCCATTTTGACTTTTCTGATAATTGTGGTTTTTCTAAATCTCTAGTTATGTCTTGGTCATCTCCCTTCATCTCCCTTCTACCTTCTATGGAGTTCCTCAGGAATTGCTCCGTGAGGTTAACCTTGATTGTCAACTTGATGTGTCTATCTGTAATGAGGACTTTTTAGGTTTACTTGAGAGGTGGGAAGACCCACCCAAAATGTGGGTATCATTTCATGGTCTAGAGTCTAGGACTGAATGAGACCGAAAAAGAGGTGGGTGAGGTGGCTGGGCAGGTAGAGGCGCTTGCTCCCAAGCATGATGACCTGAGACCGATCTGTGCCACCCACATGACAGAAAGAGCACCAACTCTGGGAAGTTATCCTCCAGAGGTGCTGTGGCATGTTTTCAAGTACAAGAGGAGGAGCTGACAGCAGCAGTCTTCCCTCTGCTCCCTGACGAGTCACAGTGACAGCTGCTTCATGTCCCTGCTGCCATGCGTCCCCACCACGATGGACCGTAACCTCTAACTGTGAGCCAGCCAGCCCGTCCTTCTGTAAGTCGTTGTCAGGTGTGTGGTCACAGCATCAAGAGAAGGAACTAATACGGTTCCTCTAGGTGAGCAGTCTTGGCCATGCGCAGTCTTCCCCTAGTGATGCTTCCTGTTACGTTGTTTTTATACT